ACCAGTTCGACTTCCATATAACATTACATTCCATGACATACCCGCAAGCTGTTAACAGCTGTTAAAAACGTTATAAACTTTTCAAAAAAAAAAAGCTTCTATCATTCAAAAGCACTCTGTTAATTACATAGCCATAAATTAACAGAGCATGTATAGTTGCCGCAATTCATGTACAGTTAGACCTTGTTCGTTATTTGAAAACATTCTCGCTCATTAGTTTTTATCGGTTGTACACTCATGTTTGCTTATATACTTACTTCATTTGTGTGCTGCATAAAACATTAAAACTTGCCATATTCTATATTTTTAGGGCGATACATCTGGCGATTATAAGCGTGCCCTATTGGCTATTGTTGGATTCTAAAAAAGAAATCACATGCCCCAAACCAACAATAAAAAAATTGTCACTGTCGTGTCTGTTCCAAGCCTTAAGCACACACATATTGTACAAAATTCGACTATCGAATAGTTAGAACGGATATACATATATGTATACAAATCTTATATGTACATATATATACATATTTATATATATACTATATGATCTACGAATGCAAATGTGGAACACAGATTTTTACGAGCAACGCAGTGCATTTAATGAGGCCTACAGTCGCATCACATGTTAATTAGTATACATAACTTTATGCACAATCATTGCACATAGTTTTATCTCAATTTTAACTTTACCTTTATATATATACATACATATGTCTTGCTCTATATGCAGCTTATGTTTATTGTTTTTTATTATTTGTCTCGAGTCTCATTTGCAAAAATTTCTAAGTTACAATATTGTTAAAAACAAACAAAACGCAACAATAAAAGAAAAGAAAATCTAATTAGGCGTCATTTTGTACTGTAAACATTTGAATTGTATTTGCCGTTGCTTCTTCTTCTTGTGTTTAACAGAAGCAGCTTTTTGCAATGCTTTCTTGCTTGCCATGTTACTAACAGCGCGCTGTTAGCGCTTAACATAACACCTAACACTGGGCCAGCGGTTACTTTTCTTTAGCACCAAGCAACTAAAAACAACAACAAAAATGTATACAAAATAACGCGTTTAATGCTCTGCTCTTTTTACGCTTCTCTCTTCAACGTGTTTACGCAATTTACAACACACAAACACACAGGAGGATGCGAACACTGAAATTGGATATTTGCTAGTGACGGTCGTCGCTTACTAGAAGAGCTGTCGTGCGCCCAAGTATAAGAGTTGTAGGGTCTTATACAACTGTGCAATAGAAATGCCAAATATATGCATTTTCGAAGACAAGAGAAAGAACCTGAAATTATTAGTGTTGTGAAGTGCTTCAATTCCAATTGTAATTCTCATTAAAATGTTTTTTTCATAAAAGTATTTTTGAAAGGCAGCCTCTGTAATAGCGTCTAACGTTTATATATCTCTGCAATCTGCAAAATAAATTTTATTTTAACGTTTCTTTATATTTTGTATACATTTTATTTGTATATTATACATCTCTAGTAGTATTTTGTGCTTGTGCTATTAACAAATAAAAAAGAAAAGCCAAAGGAACAAATTGCAAATTTCCGAGTTTTTAAACCAAACCCATATTTTTTTCGTTTCATTTACAGGATGATATATCCGGCGATTACAGTTACGTGCTGCAATGTTTGGCTTCATACTAAATTTAGTACATGATTTATCAAAATACATTTCATTGTTTGTTGTATTTCTTTCTTTTAGCCAACTTTTAACTTAATATTAAAAATTTTGTTGTGAAAATTCCTAACTACTTGTCTTTTAAATGCCCTTGATTCTTTTGTCTTTTGCTGCGCTTAATTTTAAGAAAGATAAAACCCGTTAACCATTTGAAGATGTGCGGGTAAATACGTCCAGTTGGGGCAAGTTCGAAATTGTGGGCATAGCAGCCACGCCTACTTGGCCACACGCTCCTGGTAGGCGGCCCAGAGACGATCGCGATAGCTGGCCGCCGTCTTCTCCACATTTGAAGCCTGAAGAATGCCGCGTCCAACAACGCCAATATCGGCGCCACGCTCCTTGACCACATGCTCCGGCGTTTGATATTGTTGTCCCAGCTTATCGACGCCCTCATCGATCTTCACGCCCGGCGTTAGCTGTATAAGACCGGGAAAAGCAAAACAATTGGCAGATTGACAGACGACACCAGCCACAAAGTCCACATCGCCGCCCTCGGTGGCAATCTTGTTGCTGTTCTCCTTGTACTTTTCGTCAATCAGATTTCCGCTGGCGGACATTTCGGCCAGCAGGAAGACGCCACGCTCCTTGACAGGATTAGCACCACTGAGCGCCGCTTTCAGACCCTGCACAATGCTGCGGCCAGGCAGCGTGTGCGCTGTCACCAAATCCGCCCAGTTGGCTATCTTATACAAGCCCTGGCCATACTGCAGCGATACTGTGTTCCCAATGTCCGCAAATTTGCGATCCTCCATTAGCAGGAAATTGTGTCGCGTGGCCAGCGCTTGAAGATTGACAATAAAACTCTCACTGAAGTCCGACACAATGTCCACATGGGTTTTGAGCAGGCAAATGTAGGGACCGCACTTGTCGGCCATGTCCAGAATGGCATCAGCCTCGGTCAGATCAGCGGCCAGACAGAGGTTCGTTTGCTTCGTGGCCATCAGATTGAACAGGCGCTTGGCCACCGGACTCTTGGCCAAGTTGGCGCGACTCTCGTAGGTCAGTTTGGTGCGCGAAAAGTCGTTGGCTTCTGTCAAGAGTAAAGAAATTCCAGATATGAATAGATAAGTTATCAGCAAAATTTATCCGACAAAAATAAATATAGGAGACAGCATGATAAGGGCTAAAGACTAGAACCAGACACTGCACGCCGCAATTTATGCTTCTTCTGCCCTGTCTCAGTTTTCAAAATATGTATTTTTTTTATAACTTTTATGTTTATTATGTTTGCATATACCAAAAACCAGAAACGTTTCTCTAAAAGCATTGTAAATAGTTCGGGGGTGGAGAAGGGCAATCGAAGGGGGTATATTACTGATCTTTGTGTAAATTTGATTCTTGGAACTTCCATTCTACGATATATATTGATAATGGATAAAGGGGTTGGATAATCGCTGCTTATCGATTATTTGATAAATGGGAAGATTGTCGCTAGCATTTTGTGAGTCTTTCTTATTAATAAAATGAAACTTTTGGATGTTGGCCGGCTCTACGCCCGCGACTTGATATTCTTCTTCTATTAAAGGGCAATTAAACTTTCTTTTCTTCAATGCCTTTCGATTTTTCTTGAGAATCTTCACCAGGGAGGGATACAGCATTCGTCTCGTCAGCTGTAAAGTTTCTAAAATAAAGAGCTATCGAAAAATAAGATCGAAAAGAGGAAATATGCAAGAACTTTGAATGGAAACTAGCCGAAAAGCTAAATTAACAGGAATATTGATGTTAATCAGAAATATATATACATAATGTGGAGATATTGCATAAATCCATTTGGAATCAATCATCAGCTATTTGGAGTGCTAATAAAATTGGATGCTATCTTGTATCATATCTATGATAGAGTCGAGTGCAGGTCATATATCATATCTGATATGATTAACCATGTTGGACCCGGTCAAATTAAAGCAAATTAGAGAATTTACGAGCTGGGACTAACAGCTGAATGGATAGATATACATATTATATAATTTTTATTGGAGCAGCTGGAATGGGGGCTGGCACTGGGCTGGGGTCGAAATTGGTTCTGGTTGCGGCCCGGATTTAAGCTAAATTAGCACGCGCATATGTCATGTTTATGTTATTGTCTCCCATATCTGGGATCTCCATTCCACTTACCGGTAACGCTCTTATCGCCGCCAATAAACGAGCCATCGCTGTTTATCTGGACTGCTGCAATATACTTGGCTACCGCATCCACCGTGGCCTTCTCGACGTGTCCCGCCTCGTGCAGCGTGTTGAGCAGAAAGGAGAGCGTGAATAGGGAATGCATGCGCACCCCGTGCTTGGCTATATTGGCTGCGCCGCCCTGTTCCCGATCGACGACAACAACGGCATCGTTGACCACAATGCCCTCGCTCTGCAGATCACGGACAGTGTCCAGTATGCTGGAACCGGAGGTGACCACATCCTCGACAATCAGACAGGTGTCGCCGGCCTGATAGATGCCCTCAATCAGCTTCTTGGTGCCATACGCCTTCGCCTCCTTGCGGCGCACCAGCATGGGCGTGTGCTGCTGCACCGAGACGATGGTGGCGAGTGGCAGCGCCGTGTACGGCACGCCGCAGACGTGCTTGGAGCTCAGCTGCAGATCTTTAATGTGCGCCACCAGCAGATCGGAAACAGTTTGCTGTGATAATTATAAGAAAAACAGTGTTCAAATGGTTAATTTTATATATTGTGCCCCCCTCCCTGCACACCTACCATCACATCGGGATAGCTAACTATAACGCGCAGATCGAAGTAAACCGGAGAATTAATGCCGACCTTCATTTTGTAATCGCCAAATTTGAATGCATTGATTTGAAACAATTTGATCGCTAACGCCTTCATCTCATCCGAGCTCTTGGCCATCATTTTGCTGTGTTTCTTTCAAATACTTTAACCTAGACTTAAATCAAGACGACCACGTTTATTCCACACGTGTGAGTTGGCCTGATTTAAAGAAAACACGTCCGACTGCCGCTAAGTATCAACAAACATTAAACACAAGTGTTGCAGAGCGTAGACCAGATGAGCGCCCAGCTCGAATGGCACTGTTAAATTTAGTAGACTGTTAACTTAACATGGTTGAATTGTGATATTGACTTTGATGTACATTTTTTATATACAAAATACAATTTTTGCATTAAAATAGATTTAGTTGGCGTGCAATTAGAAAACTATTAGCACCTATTCCAGTGCAATACATACACTACATTTGCGCTGACCTAATAATAGAAAGCTTGGCCACATAAATCATTCATTTCGTACGACGCTAAGTCACCGCCGCTAATTTGACGCACATACTATTCTAAGCATATTAAACGACATCGATAGACGCCTATCGACCGCTGTCAAAACTATCGAGTAGCAATAGCATACAGCAGCACGATGTCCTCTTAAAATTGTATAAAATTTTACATAAAAAACAACACTAAATGTTTGAAGTGGCGACTGTTGTGCACACGTTGTTCCATTGCTCGCGCCCAGTTTTACTGCAACCGAATCCCTATAAACAATAACAACAACAATCAGCAAGGCCGATAGGTAAGCCGACTGCAGCTTGCACAACAACAATACAAAGAATTGGTGAAATATTGCAAGTGCAACAGCAACAAATATTGTAAATACACACACAGATATTAACCAGCAATCAAAATGGCCGAGGCAATGGTCGTGGAAGAGCGCCCCTCGGTACCGAAACGTTTTTTCTGTCACATGTGCAATGTGGAGATTAACATTCCGAATACCGATTACACTTGCCCACTCTGCTCAAACGGATTCGTTGAGGAGCTGCCAGCGAATGCGCCCGAATTGTCAGCTTCTACTAGCAGCACCAGCAGCAGCGCCACCAATCACGATACAGCCAATGCTGGCACTAGCTCCAGCATCAACACCCTTGGCAGCGGCGCCGGCGTCAGCGGATTAATCAACGTTGAATCGCTGCGGAATGACATTGTATCGCTGCTCAGCATGCGGAATGTGCCCAATTTGGAAATAACGATTGAACCGAATCGACGTCACGCCAGCGTAATGCACGTGGGTAGTTCAGGCGGCGGCAATGTGTCTGGCGCTCCGACAAGTGGGGCGTCCAGCATTGCTGGTGGTCGTGTGCGACCTGCCAATTTAGATCGCTTAGACAATGTACTGTATGATTTTCTGCAGAGTTTGCCATTGGCAGGCGCCACGGCCGAAATTGTAACCGGTCCAGGCGGTGGCGGCAGCGTTGGCGGCACCGGCCATTCCCACATGTTCTTCATGGGCAATCCAGGTGATTATGCGTGGGGACGTGAGGGTCTCGATACGATCGTTACGCAGATGCTTAATCAAATGGAGACATCGGGGCCGCCGCCGTTGTCGACGCAACGCATTAACGAAATACCAAATGTGAAAATCAGTGCCGAGGAAGTGGAACGCAAAATGCAATGCTCCGTTTGTTGGGATGATTTCAAGCTGGATGAATCGGTACGCAAGCTGCCCTGCTCGCATCTGTATCATGAAAACTGTATTGTGCCATGGCTGAATCTGCACAGCACCTGTCCCATTTGCCGCAAGTCATTGGCCAACGATGATGACAACGATGACGCGGAAATTGATGAGGATTATGTGCTCCTCAACAGCCTTGTCGATGAGAATGGCAGCGGTCGCAGCGGTCGCAGCGGTGGCAACAGCAACGCTACTAGAGCTGCCACATCCACTAATGCATCTAGTCAAACGGTGGCCTCCCAGTCGGAGCCAACAGCAGCAGCCACACAACGCAACAACGTGTTCACCTTTGATGATGACAATATGTTTTTGGACTAATTCATGAATGCATATTATGAATTATTGGGGCGGATCGGATCTGGGATGTGGTTGGTAAACCTGATATTCAAAATTGAAGCCTACGCAGCTCAAGCGTTAGTACACAAAATCTAAACAGTTGCATATATTTATAAAAAAAAAATGTCTTAACAAAATCAATTACACACACGCTTTACTTTTGTTGTTATTCAAAATATGGGCTGGTAAACAATATTTGCAAATTTGTTATCATTTCACATTTGGCTACTGCAATAAAGTTTTGTAAGCGTAGTGAGGCGATTACCAATTTTTATAGGATGTTATACAAATTATGTATAAGTAACTTCAATTATATTTATTGTACTAAAAACTTAAAAAAGAAAATGTTTTTGCGCTATATTCTAAAATATAACAGTTTTTATATAGAAATAAACTGTAACTAGCTACTAGTTAAAAAACTAATATGTAAATCACCTCAAGCTAATTGTGAAGTTTATAAATCACAGCAAATTATTTAATAAAAACAATGCTAGAAATATGGTATTCATTTTGCAGCTGCGCACTAACAAGAAAAATTCGAATAAAAAGATAATTAATCAGCTGTCAACAAACGCAACAGGGTGGCAACGCCTGGTGCCGAATTTGTTTTGTTTATGCGTGTGTTTGTTGTTGCTGGACAAGGGCGCATTTTTTGAGCCAAATTGTTTAAACTAACAACTAATAGAATGCTCTAGCCAATCCGATCGAATGCAATATAACACTATTAGAGCATGGCAACAACAAGTACCAGCAGCAGCGAAATTGTTATACTCACAGAAGTGGTAAGAAACAAGAAGCGAATTGCTACTCGTAGGTTTTTTTTTTGATAATAATTACGCAGGTGCGTGAACAATATGTACGTTATTTGGAGCGCCAGTTACAGGAGAACGTGTGCGTTTGGGCAGGAGCTTCCAGGAATCATCATAAGCCCACAGCCTGGGCATGCATTGCGCACAGCGTCAAGGCATTGGAGTCACATGCAATTAAAGCCTGCCAGGCGGCACAACTGTATCAGCGTGCCATGGTCAAGATGGTAAACTGTGTACAATAAGCCTTGTGTCCAAAGTTTAGTTTATGCATTTCTTTTTAGATCGCCGCTGTGCGACGTAACACACAGGAATGCCGCCTAGCGGATGCGCTTTTCAACCAAATGCAGCAACAGCAAATCGTGGAGGATACAACGACAGCGAAAGCCCCAAAGGCGAATCCCGGCATCGTACATGCCCCACAGCAGCTAGTCGATAAGGCAACACAAACGACAAGCGTGCCGAATGATGAGCAGAACGACAATTATACAAGCTACACGCTGTCACAGAAAATCGATTTGTTTCAGTCGCAGCTCGCAGAACTTGAATGCAAAAAGCAGCTGCCAGCTGAATTCAATGGCAATGAACGGCCTGCAACACCCATGTCCAGCACAGAAGATGAAGTAGCGCAGGAGCTGGCCAAGCTATTTGACGATGAACCAACCGATCTAAATGCCATATTTGGCCTTGAGATTGAAACCACAGAGGGGACAGACCAACTACAAAAGCCCCTTGCTACGGCAGCTCAGCCGAAGGCACTGCCATCGCCTGCCACGCCGTTGACTGTGCCGTATAGCAAAAGCTTTTCGGATCTGAGAAACAGTCCCTGGCCCTGCGAATTGTATGCACAACGGCGACGCCTCAACGCATGCTTGGTGCGTTTGCTGGATGCAGACTGGCGCTGCGAGGATGCGTTAAGATATAAGTTCCATACGCTTTTTGGCGAAGACAGTGACGATGAGTTTGCCACGCATATAACTAGTCCTAGCATCGATCTAGTCGATGAAGTCCTGCTGGCCAGCTGCATACTACGCATACGTCCCTGGATTGTGCGACACTTGATGCGTCCGCTGCAGGAAGGCCTTATTGCCAATCGTTTTCTGTTCAAAAAGGTGGCCAAGATGCTTGCCAACAATATTGTGCTGATCAACCCATACGCCAGCGAGCGGCAAGTCAAACAGGCCGTGGAGCACATGTTTTGCATCCAACCCAGAGGTGTTCAAAGCGCGCTTGATCTGGAATCGTTGCCGCCAGTGTTCGTCGAAAGATTTGACAGTTAGGCAGAACGTTAAGTCAATTACATTTGAAAAACTATTATTTTCTAACATAAAATTAATCTTAAAGGTTGTTTTCAGGCAATTCTACGAATGGAAAATGTTTACTTTCAGTACAACATTCGTCCTATTACATGTAAAAGTAATTAGTGTTCCTAGTTGAAGGTATTAGATTGTTTGGAACTTACGATAAGCAAAAAATGTTCCAACTCTAAAGCCATAAATCTCAGTACCATAAAGACAATTGAAAAACATAGCCAGAATAATTATAAGTACAATTATTTCAACTGAAAAGTTAATTTCATTTATGCTTTTTAAGTAAAAGAAAAGAATCTAAAGTCAATTTGTGGAACCGTAAAGCCTATAACCAAAGTTTTGCCATGATTATTAGAATTAAGATAAAGGCTTTAAAATCAAAATTTTTGATTATCAATAGAGCTTTTCAAAGCAGTTTGTATGTATATAACCGAATATCATATCGAATCAATTAGTTTTCTAAGATTCACATTTAGTTTAACTAAACCAAAATCACACTAATAAATATTTTTATCATTTTGTTTTTTAAATTATAATTAATTCAATGATTACAATAATTTTTCTTTCTGCACATCTCTGTTCAATTGTTTTTTATAATTATATAAATTTTAATATATTTAATAAACGATACATATAATATAGTGTTTGACGAAATTGCGGCTGCTGCTGCGACGGCGGCTGCGGTTACTTTTTGTTGTTGTTGTTGTTGTTACTCTTACGGCTGTGTATGTTATTATTGTTGTTGCTGCTGTGTTGTTGATTGATAATGTGTTGGTTGTTGTTGTTGTGGTTGCTATTGTGTTCGATTTGTTGTTTGCGTATTGCTGTTGTTACTTAGTCTGCAGCAGCTACAACATGTGGTTGTTTTTGCTGTGGTTGTTGTTATGGTTAAGAGACACTACCTAGTATCGGGTATTTGATTTGTGTTTGCCGCCGCATTTGCATTTTGTTTGTATTTTTGTTGCTGCTGCTGCAGCTGCTGCTGTGAGCCCGTGGCAGTCTCTGCTGGCTGCGGCCGACCGCGTCTTTCGATCCCACCTCGATCAGCTGCTGTTGGCCTGACGCCAGTTGCACTGGCTGCTGCTGCTGTTAATGCAATGCCACCGCCAGAACCTACGCCGCCTGTTCCTCCACCTCCTCCTACACATCCCCCTGTTGCAGATGTGCCACTCGTTTGTGTTGTTGCTGTTGTGTTGGCTTTTTTGTTTTTGTAGCGATATTCATCGCATACAAAATCCTCCGGCGAGGTCTGTTGCATTTGATTCACCTGTCGTACCACAGCACGTTGCTGTTGCTGCTGCTGTTCATCTGCATTGTTATTGAGCAGCGTTTCCTGTTCTTCCTGCTGCTGTTGTTGCTGCTGCTGGCTGTCCCCGCCATTCTGCTCCTTATTTACATTATCACTCTTGGCCAAACAGTCGCCATCCTCATTGGACGCATTCAAGTCTAGCTCCTCTGTGCAGAGCAGCGATAGCAACAGCGACTGCACAAACATGGAGCTGTCAAGCGAAATAAACATTGATAACTAAACTTAGGACATATTTGCATATATTTATAACTCCTACCGATCGGCCCGCTTGCGCTCTACATCCGCCCACTCGGCATCCGTTAGTGTGGGCTGCATAAATTTGGCCAGCAAGTACTGCGATTGCGATGCGTCTCCAGCTGCAGTTTGCCCGCCAGATTGCCCAGACATGGCGTTAGTGTTGCCGCCGCCATTGGCCGTTGGTGCACCACCAATGCCGACGCTAATGCCCAGCGCATTGCTCGTGCCACTGCCGCTGCTAATGCAACTGTTGCCGACCGCCTGCAAGGATACAGATATGTTTATATACCATATTAGTATTAGCAATTGAGAATTGTATATAAATTGCATGTGGCTACTTCTCTGGCGTTGAGTGTATTAGCGGCCAGGCTGCTCGACTGCGTTTGCTGATGGCTGCTGGCCGATGAGAAGCTCGCGCCCACCGGCCATTCTGAGGTGCGCAGATTGGGCGGTGCATTCGCACTACTGGCACTCATGCCACCGCTGCCAACTGCATTGCTGCTGCCGCTGCCGCCGCTGATCACCTCGGCCATGGTGGCATTCGAATTCGATGTTGAGACTATGGGATGCGTGCGTCTTGGCAGCCGATCGATTTGGCGCGATGCCTAAAATAACGAAAGCGTTAAATGCAAACATTCACAAGCTTTTTTTGTTTCCTTATATACACAAGATTAGAATAACAACAACAACAAACAAACAAATACGCTGCTTACCGTCAACTGTTGCCGATCCATTTGCATTTGCATCTGCAATTGTTGCAACTGCGATGTTGGTGGAACGCCACGTCTGACGCCGGATAGCTGTGAGAGCAGCTCTGCAATGGGATCGACAGATTCGCGACCCGATGGCGACAATGCCGACAGTCCACTCGATGAGCTAAAGTGCATATTGGAGCGACGCGTACGCGGCCCGCCCAAAGTGCGTCCAGGTATGCGACGCACACCACCGCCATGGCGTATGGCCGAGGGCTCGTCGTGTTGTCTAAAGGTTAAAGCAACCAAAACAAAATTAAATCCGTCTTAACTTATAATACCTGGTATATACTATTGAGGAATTGCCCTATTTGCTTTTGAACGCTGACGACCTATTGCCAATTTGTAATTTTGCCAAGATTTTGATTGCGAACAGAAAAAAAAAAAACTTTTCGAAAAAATTATAAATTACATAAATACACGATGAATGACTGCATAAATTATACATTAAAGATCCTTTGGCAATAATTTACTTACAACATAATATGATACATTTTTTTATCCAATGGTTTTAAATAAATATCTAAAACGGGACGGAACGCAAGGTATTGGGTCGCGTAATACTGATATAATTTATCTGTGATAACTAAAGTTTTTGAATAAGCGTTCATATTCAACTACAGTTTTAACTTCTTTAGTGTAATCCCTATTCTTAATACTTCGCTTCAATACACTAAAACATTCATTAAAATTATTTTTAGGGCAATTCGTTTGTTCAATCTTCAACACAAAATACTTTCGGCTCTTTTCTTAATAAAAGCTATTTCGTGAATAATGTTGTTTTTGAAAAAGGATATCAAAAAGGATATTAACTCTCGTGGTCCTTGCCGATGCTCCAATGTTAGATGACCAGCAAAATCATCTGTGACTAGATTCGGCTCACCGCCTGGCAAGCCAGCACAAACGGGACAGACGACCTCCAAACTGGTCTCCGTATGCTCGGCAGAGACATGCTCCAACAGGGTGGCATCGCTGAAGCCCATCTTTTTGCAATAAGGACACGTAAATGATTGCGGCTGATCCGTTGTTAGCATTTCACCGCCAAAATATAGTTCAATATCGGAACGGGTAAGTATGCACTGCATTGGATGCTCAACCAGATGGCGAGTGGAGGTGACGCCATCCTCATAGCAATCGGCGCACAGATCATAATCATAACAGATTAAACACTTGTAGCGGCGTCCAGTGAAGTTACTTTTTAGACATGAATCGCAGCTCACACCTAATGCACATTAAATAGTGTACATAAATAAATATAGTATAATTGACGATGTGTATGATTCAGATTCAGAGAAAGGGTAACACTACCTTCATGACGACTCATTATTTAGCAGCAGCAGAGCAGCGGTAGAGTCACCACCAGCAGCGGCAGCAGCAGCAGCAGCAGCAGCGACGTCTTCACGTCCACTCGATGGGCGCCGTTTCCTTTTGGGCGCACTCTACTGTTCTGCCAGAGATTTCGATTTGATTTTATTTCAATGAACTTTCGGATGAGCTTTCAGCACTTTTTCGTTTTTTTTCTTTTTCGCACTATGTTTTGTGTTGGAGATTCCTATGTACATATGTGTAGAATGCAAAGGAGCTGCAAGGCGAAATGAACAATAAAAAGGAGGTTTTCAGTCATCGAATGTAAACAGATGACAACAAAGAAAAAACGGCAAATTAAGTAACAAGGCTAACACGCACACGATTATATACACACACACACACATATTTATTCACAAACGCAGCCCGCCCTCACAGATGCAACTTTTTTTTCTGATTTTCTTTTCGCCTTTCTTTGCACAGCTCACAGAAGACGATTACGGTTCTTTCTCTTTGGTGTTACCTTTCGCGTTTGTCGTCCGAAAATGAAATGAATAGAAACAGGCAAAAGGTATAAATTGCACACACTTCCCCCTCTTACGTCTTGCAATAGCACGCACTACCACAAGCTTGAAAGCAATGATATTGTTCAATACAATAGCGAAATCGGAGGCAAAAGGGTAGTGCACTAAGAAAAACCATAAACCCGCGCACAATAATATTTAAGTATTATATATATACTATATTTTAAACCATGCACAGTAAACATTTATTTTTAACTTTTTCGTTTCGCGAAAATTTTCAACTCATTCGACCCGTCCGTCTTCGTCGTCGTGTGCTTTTGTGTGTCTCTGCGCTACTCGCCCCCCTTCCACCTCCTGCTGTGTTTCGAGGGCTGCCACATTTGCCAAAAAAGTAGTGCAATGACTAAACGTTAATATACCAAGTAACAGCGCCTGCTATTTGCAGATAGTATAAACAAGATGTTTATAAACAATTAGCACACCTTTTCGTTTAAACAAAGTGTAATTCCTCCAATATGTACTGACGAATCAGCTTTTCACATTGGCGTTACCATACTAAAGCGAGTGAGTGGCAACGCTAGGCCGAAATGCGTGAGCTTTTCGCAATAGCCCGTCACACCATACAATGCTCGACATACGAATAGAAACCATGCGCTTAAAGCGCATGACCCGACTAGCTGATTGGCAGCTGATAAACACACTTCAGCTATTTAAATGACTTGTAGTGCACATTTCTGCGATATATTGAAATTATGGCCAGGTAGACGGGTCTTATTTGATTGTTTGAGCATGTGCACTTTTATATAAAACTACCTATCCAGATGTGAAAGAACTGTTATACTTTTATCTTCTTCTGGTACACTGTAGCTTGTTAAATAACTATGACATTTACACGGTGCCACAGAAACACATGCAAGCGGTAGCGCTGATCGGTTTAATTGTATCGTTTGTTGTAGGAAATTAAATTTAAAATGTTTTATGACACTATTTTTAAGCTTTTTGCGTTTTCTGAATTCAACGGCGGGTAAATATGGTACATTCATCTTTATACTCATATGCATATGTATGTGTTTTCGTGTGTATATATGTATGTGTATAATATATACAATCTACGCAATTGAAAATGATTTCAACTGAAATCTTTGTTCGCCGCAAATTTTCATTGTACCCAAATAAAAATAAGTTGCTTTGTGGCTGTAGACTTTTTTTGTTGTTTCTATTGCACTTTGTTTGGCAAATTCGCATTACATACTGACGCATGCAAGTACTTATGCATGTATGTATGTATATATTCTTTTTATACACGTTCCCCTTTTTTTCATTGGTTGTTGCGCTAGCACATTTTCAACACTTATTTGATGAAACACGTACATGTAAATTATTGTGCTGCAACATTGACTAATTAATTATTATTTACTATTTAAATTAAACACTAGCACTCAAATTAATATGTAATTGAAACGAAAATAAGTTATATCGAGTTGAAAGCTTTCCCCCGACTGCAGCTGCAGTGCGACCATACGTCGATGACTAAAAAAATACTAAATCCACGTTTCCCCAACCCTATTGCATTGAATATACACCGCTTGGTTCTTACATTTATTTACTTTTTTATTTATTACTGTTCAATCTTCTAGTTTTTCCGGCGGCGGTCCACACGGCTGCAACATGCGTTCCATTAAATTAAACCGCACACGCGCCTTGGATTCGTTTTCGGCGATGGCAAAATAATTGAGCATATCGTAGTGTCCCATATAGCTGGCCAATGAGTCGCGGTGTTGATTGGTTAACCACTCAAATTTGGTGGTATCCGCGTGTCCTGTGCCAATGTATTTGCTCTGCAGATGCTCCAATTGACTGTGTATGTTATAACGTTCGCCCATTTTGTGAAATAAATATTAATTTTCCGCTGTGAGCTAAATGTTCCGTTTGTTTTTAGTGATGTTTGGCGCAGTACTGAACTAGTTCTCTGAAAGTGAACTCAGAAATGAACCGAAGTTAATGCCGTGCTGGGCCACTGTTAACTCACTGTAAACGTACAAAATGTTTGATTTAAATGCTAGTGTAAATAATTGTAATTAAATGTTAATTATATAGAACGCTTGATCCTGACCAGGTGCTGTGTGCGTGCAAATACCAAAAGAGCAACAAGGTCAAAAACGAAGAGGACATCAAGCAGGAATATGAAACGCCCGAATGGCGCGCTGAGTTCAATTTAGGACGGCGTTATCAAGCCTCCTATAACATAGCCCCCACAGACATAACACCCGTTATGTAGGTTGATTATGTTGCAATTATAGTATCTAGGACTTAGATTCTTTTGTACACCTCTTTAGTGTCTCTGCAGCGCACTTCAGCGAGGCTGAGGATCAGCAATATGCGCGCACTGTCATGCCCATGATGTGGGGCATGATTCCTGCATGGCACAAGGGCGACTATCGCAAACATGGACTCACCACGAACAACTGCCGACTGGAGCATTTAATGGATTCCAAACTGTATCGTGGACCTTTCAAGCGCGGCCAACGGTGTGTGGTCGTATGCGAAGGCTTCTACGAATGGCAAACCACAAAGCAAGCCAAGGCATCTGAGCGTGAGGCCTATTTGGTCTTTGTGCCACAGGAGTCGGAGGTTAAGATCTATGACAAAAGCACCTGGTCGCCGGCAAATGTGAAACTGCTACGTATGGCTGGCCTGTTCGATGTATGGCAGGATGAGAGCGGCGACACGATGTACAGCTACAGCATCATTACCTTCGAGTCCAGCCAAATTATGTCCTGGATGCACTATCGCATGCCAGCGATACTCGAAACGGAGCAGCAAATGAATGTGTGTAAAAAGACATTTTTTTGGCATATATAAAAAAAATGTATGTTAATATATAAATTTATAGGATTGGCTGGACTTCAAGCACGTGAGCGACGCTCAAGCTTTGGCTGCACTACGTCCGGCTACGGCCTTGCAGTGGCATCGTGTTACCAAGTTGGTGAACAATTCCCGGAACAAAAGTGAAGAATGCAACAAACCATTTGAATTGGCGGCCAAGCCTGAAAAGCCGAAGGGCATGTTGGCCTGGCTAACTGGAAACAAGCCACGACAGCAGCAAAACAACGCAAAGTCCAGCGAGGACGAGCAACTGCAGGAAAAGGCAACTAAATAAGCCTCAGTAGATTAGTACATTTTCAACTAAATTAATTATTATAAAAGACCCGTAAAGTATATATATTCATGAACAGTATCAAAAGCCGAGTCGATATAGCCATGTCCGGCTGTCCGTCTATCCGTCCGTCTGTTTCAATGCGAACTAGTCTCTTATTTTTAAAGCTATCTTTATGAAACATTGCAGAACTGTCTCTTTCTGTTGCACGCACATACATATGTCGGAGCCAGCTGGATCGGACCACTATATGATATAGCTGCCATAGAAACGACCGGTCGAAAATTTAGTTGTATGGAAAACTTCTTTGTTTTTCGAAATATCTTTACCAAGCTGGGTATTTATTAATTTTACTATGTTTCTTATATATATGCAATATTCGATCAACATAGGACCACTATATCACAACTGCCATAGAAACGATCGGTCGAAAATTAAGTTTTTGTCGTTTTTTTTTTAAACTTATATTTATTACTGCATTTGGTATTGGTAGAAGAGGGTTCCCCTAGTCGGGAACTCCCGACTAGAGCCACTTATTGTTGTAGTTGAGTTCATTGAAGAAACACATGTAATATATATATATATTTCAATCTAAGCAAGAAGTTATTAAATGAGTTGTCAACAATAATACATAAAGCAAAAGAATATGCACATGAATATAAATACGTATAAAATATACCTGAACTTTGCATAAGATCACAATTTTTGTTCGATTTATTTACGCGGAATGAGTTTAACCCAAAAACCATTTTTAGGCTTTAATTGAAAGCCTGCGGAGCTGAGGACAAGGGGAATACAACTTTTCTTAGCTGGGGCAATACGGAAGTCTCGCAGCAAATAGTATATCAAAGCTTTTGCCTCGAGTAGTGCGAATCGTGAACCTAAACAAAAGATGTTTAGCAACAATAATGTCATATTTTCCGATCCGATAACTGAACATTTCACTCACCTATACAATTGCGTTGACCTATGCCAAATGGAAAATAGGTGCATGGCTGAATTTTGTCCTTGTTTTCATCGCTGAAACGATCTGGATCAAACTTGGTCGGATTTTCGAAGTACTTGGGATCGAGATGGAAGCCACTGGTGGGCAGCCAAATGGCGTCGCCTTTCTTGATCTCAATGCTTTTGCCATCGACCACATAGGTAATGTCCTTGCTGCACTCGCGATCAAATGCGCTTGTAGGGGCCACTTGCGCAGCACCTCCGACACCACCTGGTCCATGTACATCATGCCCGTTAGACCTCGTATGTCAGTTGGCCGCCGTCTAGATCGCTGTCGACCTGTACAGTCTCTCCTCGTACAGTCTCTCCTGCACATCCTCGTTCTCCATGAGCTCCTGTGCGGTGAAGCACATAAAGGACGCCGTTGTCTCAAAGCCCGCAAGGAAAAACACAAAGCATTGAGCAACAATGTCACGATCGCTCCAATCCCGAACTGTGCCCCATTTTGGCTTATCCGTGTGAAACATGCCGCGTGCCTCCATCAGTATGTTGATCATATCGGGGCGCACAATGTTGTGCTCCTGACGATACTTCATGGCATCCAGCACCAGGTGCACAAAATAGTTGACGCTTTTTTTTATCAAACAGCGATATTTTTAATAGCTACAAGCAGGTGGCAAATGTATACAAGTACATATGCTATATACATATATTAGTTCGGATTACCTCAAAGAGTCGTCTGGCAGTTGTAAAAAATAAAAACTTTAAGTTCTGCACCGCATTAAAGCTGGTCATCTTCTTGCCCATAGTGTAGAATGTGTTGCCTCGATCCTTGAAAGAGTTCACCTGCAAACCAAATGCCGTTGAGGCAATCACGTCGTTGGTAAATCGCGAGCAATAGTCTTTCGTGTCCAGCTCGATTCCGGTTTCTGGCACTTGATCACGTTTCAGGCAGTCGACTGCCTCTTTGGCCGCGATGTCCATCAGCTGGAACATCTGACGCATTTTGCTGCCCGTAAATGCAGGACTCAGCGTGCTGCGCATGTCCTTCCAGCGAGCATCGCGCATTAAGAATAAGGAGCTAGCGAATAGATTGTTCATGTCGTGCGGATTGTCATCAGAATTGCCAAAGAAATTTCGATGGTTGATAAAGTGATCGAAATCCCTTATTGTTATCTGCTTGATCAGTTCCGGATCGCGTATCATCAGCAGCGGCTTGCGTTGCTCAAAGATGCCGTAAACCCTATAAGCAGAAATTTATCTAATTTTATCATGATCGAAGTAAAAATAACTTCAGAAACTTTGATAAGGCCAATTATTATTAATTGTTGTATGTACTCAGTAATTACACATATGTGATTGAACAATAAACATTACATTTTAATGTAAAAAAAAAAATGTTAAAATATAATTACATTACATTTGAATGTAAAACAATTTTTTTTAATGTAATTATTAATATTAAATGAAGCTTTTAGAAAGAACGAATATCTTTGTCAGGTCGATGACTACATATTGTTGTAGACATTTGCCTTACGATTTTCCAGATATGTGAGCATTAATTGCTGACTTAGGTGAAGATTACCTCAAAAGCAGAACACTTTGCCATACAAAAACATGCCGATATTACTCAAGATATTTTATCTTACAAAAAAGAAAGCTTAGTTTTCTTATCAAAAAACAGACAGACATGGCTATTTATGTCGAATCGGCTGTTGGTACTGATCAAGAATATATATGCTTTATGGGCTCGTAGATGTCTCCTTGTTTGCGTTGCACATTTCATCACAAAATAAAAATACCGTCTACAAGGCTAAGATTGCCATTTATTTATAATAATAAACAAGATAGGCTATCTAACAAAAATATTAAGAAAGATTAAGTAGAATGGAATACATATATTATATTGGGAGTTAATATCAGGCACAAGTGATAACTAACAGTCTCATAGTTCTGTTTGTGTTCAAAGCTAGTCATAGACTGCCCTTAACATTAAGGCTTAACATACTCTGTTACCTATATGCGACCTGCTGCCAGAGTGACCGTGTGTACTTCTGTTAAAACATGCTATTGATAATGTGACGTCACTATCCTGCTACACTACTAAAATATGTATCTGTTCGCGTATGTACATATATGCGTAGTTTATATCTAATGATTTAATTGTGTAAACAATGTGCTTTGGCTACATAAAATGCTCGACCTAATGTTCTATAATACGCAATAACGTGTTTGCTATCTAGTCAAAATTCTGTATATACTCACTTGCCATTGCCTTTGTTGTACAAATCGACGATCAGATCAAATATAGATTGTTGTCGTAATACCATTTTATGCATGTTTCCTACGAAGGGATATGGTTTTTCATAATCTATTCCTCGCTCCTTGAAAAAATTATAGTTGGCTGTTGCCCAGCGATAGGCCAGCAGCAAGGCGACGACAGAAATCGCAAAAAACTCTAATAGCATCTTTAGAGTTCACCGCCTAACAAACCAGTACGGCAAACATCAAATTGAAACTAAACATCAAGTGCTTCGCTTCTATGAACGGAAGCTTTTGTTCCGCGCTTTGACTTTCCGCCATTGAGTAATATACACAGGAGGCTTTTGGATCAAAACCTCTTTTCCAAAATACTTAAAGCAAGATATCGAGGTTGTAAAAACAGCTACTTCTGCCGTTGCCAAAAAAAATATGATTTCGTAGTTTAGTTTGTAATTATTAGTACAGTCTATAATAATTGTTTTCTTTAATCATTGTATACCATTTCTATAAAAAAGGGTATCAAAGCCTCGATGCGCCAAATAGTTGTGGTATGTGTGTCTTGACTCACACATTTTGGGGCAAATCTGCATGCATGTATGTATGTATGTGTCTGCCAAGCCAAGGGAAGTATATGAATTAAGAAGATTGCAACATTCTGTTGCGCATATGACGTCACAGCCTAAGGCTTTTTGTGGTTGCGATCGTTGCGTACAGTAAATTAAAACATTTTTAAATAAATTCATTATTATAAAATACTCTTAAATTACTTACTACTCTTAAATACTTAATAAATTACTTAAATGTACGTTAAAAAAAATAGAAATTTTGCTTTGAACGCCACGGCCTGCTGGCATTCAACAACAAACACAGTGGCATTATGTGTCCCTTATTTATGCACTTTATTACTCAATGCCCCAAAACGAAGCCATATTCACCTCAATGCAGAGCAAGAAGAGAGCGCTTTTGTAAAGGTTAAATCAGAGGCCACTATAAAATTAACAGTTATATAGGTATTCACAAAAAAATTTCTGAGCTCTGCTCTCAATAAAAGATTTAAGGCAATGTATAGTATTTAAAATTTATTTGCATTAAAAACCAAAAGATTTGTTCTCATTACCCAATTCTATAAGTATGTATATAGCGTTATTGTTTTTTTGTTGCTAAATTACAAAGGCTTACAATATAAAAATTGATTTAAATTTCATTCTCTTATTTTGTATACCATACGCTTTATTTGCTAATTTGTATGTTAAAAACTATGAATGTTTTATGGAAATAATATTTATATAATGCGCTGTCAACGTTATTTGAGGCGCGTCTTTTAGCAAACCCGTTAAAAGTAGAGCTTGCAATTTTCACAAATTTGACAAAAAAGAAAATTAAGCAATAATTGTTTTCAGTATTTGCACTTGAACTGTTTTTTCCGCATGCAACAACAAATAAAAGCAAAAACTGAGCAACAAAAAAAAATTGGTGTCAATGTTGCAGTGCAGCGAGCAAATTGTAGTAGGCGGGCGAGAGAAAGAGTGCAACCCATGATTTCTGCAAATGTGTGTGTGTGCAAGTGCTTACAAGTAGAATTGTTATTAGTCTAGGAATTACACATGTAATTATTTTATTATGTATACATATATAAAAGTTGTATTCTTTTGTTCGTTAATGAACTTTGCAATTTGCATGAGTGATTGCTTTACAGCTATTTCAAATACTTTGCACTGCTTGGCAGAGTAACAGACATACATATGTGTACTCCCTGCATGCGTGTGTGTGCGGATTGGCGGCTTTTCGTGTGGAAGCGAGCAATGATATCGATATCGACAGCGTGTACGGTACGTGACTACCGTTATGTGCCTAAGTGCCTATTTACGAGTTTACAATTTATTTTTGCTTTATATCTGACTTGACGTATACATATACTATATATGTATGAATGCTGGCTAAAATATTTCAATAATTTTTTAGCATGATTCTTTTTTTCTTTTGTAGATTGCACTTGAAAAATAAGTAAAACTGAGTTTTGTGTCGTGTGAAGATGAGCGCGTGTCACAAGCAAATATTGGAAATAAGTACTTCCAGTAGATAAATAGAACATTTTTCCAACTAAAAACTAGGTCGGGAAGTGTATGAGCAATAATGTAAATGGCGATGAGAGCATTTTTTCAATAATGTTATTTTTTTAGCAACTCAAGTTTTATAATATGGTAATTATAAGAGTCTAATAACGCATTTTGAGATGTCTGTTTACAATTTTTAGAATAATAAACAGATAAAATACTATCTGTAAGTTGTACAATTTAATTAAAGATGCACTATATTTACAGAACACCAAAGAAACTGTTGCTTGTAAGAATAACATTCATGTCGTGCTTAGCTTGTTGACACGCGCTCATCCCTAACCGAGTTACAAGTGGACGTGTGTGTGTGTTTGAGAGAGAGAGAGAGAGAGAGCGGGAGAGGGAAGTGTGCGCATTGTGCATTCACTCGAATTGTGTGCTAAACATATTAATATTTAGATCCTCGAATGTAGTTGTGTTGGTGTGATCGAGCATTTGCAGCATATCAGAGAACTCCTGACCTTGCGGCTGCTGTGCGCCCGCAACGACTGCAGCGCCTGGATGTGCATGCGCATGTGGATGATGGGCATGCGGATGCGGATGTGGATGCGGATGGGCCGGGTGTGTGGCCGCATTTTGCCAATCCCAAGGCGTTGCCGCTGGCCCCGCCTGATATGCAGCCGCCTGTTGCTGCTGTTGCTGACGTTGTTGTTGCTGCTGCTGCTGTTGTTGTTGTTGCTGCTGCTGCTGGCCATTGCCAGCGCTGAGCTGGGTGTATGTGGGGCCGCTGGGCGAGCGCGCCGGGCTGCTCTGCTGATACGCTGGATATGCCTCAGTAGAAGTTGGCTGTGGCTGCTGCCCGGGCATGCCACGCGCGCCCCAGGCATTGGGTGTGGGCGAGGTGCCCGATTTGGGTAGCTTGGCCAGAGGAGAGGGTCCGCCGCCCGCTGCGGCGCCATAGGGCGAGTGCGTGGCATCATAGCTATAGCCCACGGGTGTATTCTGTGCCGAGGCAGGACGTGGCGGCGGCGCCTGCATGTGCATCTGATAGATGCCACCATCGCCGCCAGTGGGTGTAATCTCACGTCGCGGCGGCTGCAGCGTATAATCGACGCCCGGCGCCTGCACATAAACATGTTGCTGTTCCGTCTGCTGCTGCTGTTGTTGCTGCTGCTGCTCGGGCGTGGCGCCATGCAGCGTCTTGCCGGAGCTGTTCGTGCACACAATGTACTCCACCTCGTCCGTGTAGGGATTGAGGAAGGCATAGGCCTGCGTGCGCAGCCATACGAACTCGGAGCTCTTGGCGCGGGCGCGATAGAGCAGCGAGAACATTTGTCCCTTCTGCTTGAGCACCTGATCGAAGCTCTCCTTCATGTGGCTCTGGTCCTCGGGATGAAAGAAATCATAGCATATCTTGCCCAGCAGCTCGGTGGGCGTATAGCCCAGAATGTGCAGTACACGCTGATCCACAAACGTAAATTTGCCATCCAAGGCATGCCGTGTGATGAACTCGCTCTGATTATTGCTGCCGGTCATGTCGTTGGCAGCCGTTGAGGTGACCTGCAGCCGGCCAATGGCTACCAGGCAGCAATGGGAGGCCATGTCATCGACATCGCGTTCCATGTGCACATTGGGAAACATGTCCGTTGGCGGCCAGTTCTTTATATAGCCGGTGCAATGGACCACAGCATAATTGGAGCCATCCCGGGAGGGACCCAACGAATTGCGCTGCTTCAGGCGATTCAAATGGCCAGAGACCATGGCGTCGGGATTGACATTGCCGACGCGCATGCGACAAATGAAACCACGGCGGGCGCCCATGCTCAGGCGCATGCTCGACTGATGACCTTCCTTTTTGACTGTGCCCGACTTCAGGTCCAGGATGCGGCCCGCATTCTGTGACTCCTGCGTGGAGAGCTGTTCGCGTATCTTGTCCCTATCATCCGGATGGATGTGCTCATACAAGCTAGTGCCGTACCAATCGCTTTGCGTATAGTTGAGCACCGGAGTCACTGAGTCGGACACATAGATCACACGGCCCGAATCACAGGACACGACAAATAGAAAGCCATCGGCTGCCTCTAGGATTAAATGCTTGAGTTCCTGATCTGTGAGAAAGGAGGGCTTGTAGGTGCCATCGCTGCTCGTATTGCCTGTGCCACGCAGCGCCTTCATGTGGGCCACGGCCATGCGCAGGATGGTCAGCTTGTCGGGCTTGCGTGCCAGGGCGCTGCAGGTGGGCACCATGTCCGAGAGTTCCGTTATGTAGGCGGTCATTTTGTTGCGACGGCGTCGTTCGATTTCACAATGATTCTCGCGGCTAGCGAAGCGCTCCTTGTCCTGTATGTTGGCATCGTCCATGATCCGAATACTTAATTAGCGCACTCTTTCACTCGCTGTATATTTATTTGTGTAAGTGTGTGTGTCTGTTTGTGTATTAATGAGTACTTCTCTTAGTTTTGCTTTGCTCTGTTGTTCGCTTTCTTTATGTGGGTCGCTTTGCCGCGACGGCCCAGCGCACGGTTCTGAAAAGTGATTCGTGTGTCGAGGGAGGGTTTAGTATTTTGTCTACGTTTGCCACTGTATGTGTGCATGTGTGTATGCACAAGTGTATATGGCCAGTTTTTGTAACAACACACAACAAATCAATCCAACAGTTTTTACATTGTTAATTTTACACTATTCAAACATGTCTGAAGTTTAACACATTTTAGCGCCGTTAATGAGAGTTTTTAACTATTTTATGGCAAATTACCAAATTTTCTTCCACGAATTGCACACACACGATAAAATCTGAAACTGTTTACTGTGCATAGTGTGACCGTGCCAGACATAAAATACCAAAATCAAACAGACTTATCGAGGTAAAAATGCAACTCTGTGGCGTTGCCAGATAGATTTACGATGATATCGATGATTTTCGACCACACATAATATCGATGCCCTTCAACGGTTGTTTAAAAATACTATAGAGGCAAGTAATTTTCTCTTATTTATTAAAACTGCTCATGAATTTAAATGTTCTTGATAAGTATTTAATGGTATTACAGCATTGCATTGTCTTACATATATCATATATAGTTTCATAAATTCATTTACATTATTTATTCATAACTAGGCATTGTACCATTTCGTTTAGATTTCGAAATAGTACTTGTTTTTAAAAAAATTAAAATTAATTATCAGTAGTGGCAATAACATATGTTTTTTCCGCTCTAAAACTCAATTGTCATTTCAATTCTTATAACAAAAGTAGTTAAGTAGCTTACGCTACATTTAGCATAGTCCTTTGTTTTTGCATCAATATGTTGTTTTTAATACAATCTTAGGTAAAGTATATATTTGTTCTGGTTGTTTGTTTGTCTGTTTTTCATTTTGTTTGTTTGAGTTCATTAATTATTGGCAATACTCTAACTGCATGTTTTCATTTTCTTTTAAATGGTTTTAGTTCATATCCATTTTATTTCAATATTTGTTTCAAGCAAAGTCTTTTGTTCTATGTAGTGTATTTTTTTTGTTTTGTTTTTTTTTTTTATGTTTATAACTGTGCACTACTTAATTGTAGTTATTCATAAAATGCGTCTCTTTAAAGTTGCATAGCGTGCATTGTTTATTTTTATAATTTTCTTTCGAATGAAATCGTCTTTTATAGTAAACTTCAGCATAATTCGTTGACTAGAAATTAACTTAAGTACTTAAAAATTAAACTTAAATCTGATATTTTTGTCTATTTTGGTGCAAAATTAATTGGCTGAACAACATTTTTCTTAACATTTCGTGCTTAAAATAGTTTTTTTGTTTTTCTTTTGGTGTTTTTTATTTCTTTATTTTTTAAGTTTATTAGTGTATGCATTTATTTAAAAATGTAAAGTTGACGGCAGAGTTTTGGTTCTTCTATATATATACTTTTCTTGTTCTTTCAACTTCTTCAATGTGCATTTTATATAGTTGCTGCAAGCTTAAACAAAATTTTTCATATATACCTTAACAATTTCATACTACAATCCAAACATTTAGCACCAAAATGATTTAAAAATACGCCAAATAAACAAATACAATATATTAAGTTGATTTTGTGTTTCAATTCTTTTGCACAGGATTTGGAAATTTTTGCCATTTTAGAAAAACTACGTAAATTTGCAACAACTTTTTGTCTCACGTTACGAAATTAAGAGCTATACAAAAATACTTTGGTTTTTTATATATTTATATAACATGCTAATACATCGCAATTGAATTCTTAAAAAAAAAATTAAATATATATATATTTAAATCAATTGAATTAAATTGAACAATTCTTTTGGCTTGTCGCCCCGCAGCACTTAGCATTAAAATCACAAAAAATTAAATATTTATACTAAACATACGTGTAGAGCTAAGGTTAAGCATAAATAAAGTCAAAGTGTTCCTTTTGTTTTTTTTCTTCTACTAGTTCTCTTTTTTGAAGTTTTTTGCCTTTCTCTTTCAGTTACTTGCAAAAATATCAGTTAATTGTTTCTAGTTACTAGTTGCTTTAAAAAATTCATTGATGAATTTGTGTTGATAGTTTTTTTAAAAATGTTTTTTTTTTGCGCTTCTTACAAATCTCTTGCTAAACATTAAATTTATAGTTTTTGCTTATTTCGATTGCGAGTTCAAATTTAGGAAATTGCTGCGTCTTTCGCAGAAAATGCGTTGTGTGTGTGTGTGTGTGTGCGGTAATAGACGAGGGTTTTCTTTGTGTGCATTTAGTTTATTGTTTTTTTGGGTAACTGCTTTGGCTGCCTACGTGGTGTAGGTGCGTATTACGTCGCGTATGACGGCTCGGCAGAGCGGACACTGACCGCCGCCAACGCCGCGCCACTGCTCGATGGCGCAATCGTAGCACATGCACATATGCCCGCACATGTAGAGCACCGAATCAATGGGATTCTCATAGCAGATGGTGCACTCGGCGCTGGAATCGGTGCTCTGCTGGTCGCTGAGACTGTCCTTCCATTTGGTGCCGTTCAGTGTGCTGCTGCTTTGGGCCACGGGCTGCATGGGTATCAGAGAAAAGAGCATACATTAGTATTGGTATTAGTATTATTAATACATTAGAATACATTAGTATTGTATTTGAATAAGGGTATTTGATAATTATTTATTCTCATAGATTCAATTAGGAATTCGATTTCATTTCACAAGCGCAGCCAACTTAACAGGGGTACACATATTTGTGGTGCTGCCAGATAGCCAAAATAAAAATGAGAAATTTGGAGATTTCGATTCTTTCCTTAAATAAGGAAATAATCTTAAAATCTCACAAGCACAGGCAATATGTTAGTGACAATTAGAAAATCTCTAAAAGCTGGCTCTCAAAATTTAACATTTATTTTTTTATATATTCTATTTCAATTAACCTCTTGAGTGTTTGACTAATTAGAGCTCAATTTGCTTTTGGAAAAGTAACACACTAATGGAATCCATTTTTGTGATTAACATTCTACGAATGTAACTAGATGTAGAGTTGGCGCAGCCAACTTAACAAGAGGACACATATATGTAGTCCTGCCAAATAGTTGGAGTTTGAAGTATTTCCATTCAAAATTAAAATGAGAAAATTGGAGATTTAGATTCTTTCCTTATTAAATAAGGAAATAATCTTAAAATCGCACAAGTACAATGAAATTTTATAGGCCATGTCTGCACATTTTATGGACGAATAGAAAAAAAGGCCGTCAAACAATTTTTTAATCGCATCATATTTTGGATAGACTCTTGTTTGATTGACTAGAAATCAAGTTGTTTTCGAAAAACACTAATTGAATAAATTTTGTATTAATATTCTACGAATGTTGTTAAATGTAGAGCTGGCGCAGCCAACTTAACAATAAGGTTGCAATTTTTAGTGCTGCCAGATTGTTAAAAAGTAACAAGCAGGAGCTCTTTGGGGCTCGCCTAAGAAATGTCAGCTATATTGATGGACATTGAATCTCTTTGCTTTTATTTCTTTATTCATTCAACTCACCTCAATATATTGCTGACTGCTGGTGGTGCTGATCAATGTGCCGCTGGAGCAGGCGCCGGCCAAGATGCCGCTGCTGGTCACGGTGGCCGCAGCGCTTGCCGCCTGCCGTCCGGCCAGCTGTCCGTTGAGATCATGCGAGCTGCTGGCAGGCGGCAGATTAACGACGAGCACTGTGCCGCCGCCATTTGGCTGTATCTGCAGGATGTCCCCGTTGGAGGGCATGCTGATCATGCGGCTGCCATTGCCGGCATTGGAGGCCAATGTGCCGCTCGACTGGGTAACGTTCAGTTGCATTTTGGATGCGGCCAGCATCTGGCCGGCATTCAGGCTGTTCAGCGACTCGGCCATCGGCAGTATCCGTGAGCTGGCGGCAGTTGTGGCAGCAGCTGCAGCAGCAGCAGCGGCGCTTATCTGCGGCTGGGATGGGTAGGCGACCATATTGGGCAGCTGCTGGCGGAACATGCGCAGCGATTGCGTCGAGCCGTAGACATCGAGGAATGCCCACAGCTGCAGCGATTGATCCACATGCATGACGACGACGGCCGGGCCATTGTTCTTGCTGATGCTCACCTCGCCGTTGGGCGCCACAAAGAAGGCGATCTCATCGCCGCGCTGCGGCGCCGCAGCGATATCCTTGCTAACGACCCAATATTCGGGACGATCGAGCAAGAAATCCGAATCGTTGGGCAAATCATTTGGCTGCAGCAAGGCCGGATTGCACGAGGTCAGCCCCAGGGCCAAGGCGCCCACATACATCTGCTCCGTCTTGAGCACCTGGACAATCAGCTTCTCGCCAATGCGTATCGGCCGTGCCGTGAACACATAGCCCTGGCAGAAGTCCGACTCGGTGCGTGAGGCGACAAACCGATCGTGCGACAGCCGCACATTCCGTCCCTTGGTGATGTGAAAGGGCACCGGTATCAGCCGTCCGTTGGCATTGTAGCGCAACGGCGGCAGGCCATTCGCCAGATCGTGCTCAATAATGCCGGCCGCAGCCGTGCCGGCCAAATGCAGCGACTGTAGCGACGGCATCACATGACGCTCCAGCTCGTGATCTACAACGACTCCGGTGCCGCCGGGCAGCGAGCGACGCGATTGCTGGAGAGGATGATGCGCGGCGAGCTGTTGCTGGGGCAACTGTTGCTGCTGTTGCTGCTGCTGGGGCAACTGTTGCTGCTGCAGCTGCAACTGTTGCTGCTGCTGCTGTTGGTACATGTAAATGCGCGCGTCGAGAAACTCAATGCCCGTGCAATTGCCGTAGATGTCGATCACAGTCCAGAGCAGGCCGCGCGTATCGATGCCGGATAATATGACGCCCTTCTCCTCGTTGTTGATGCCATAGATGACATCGCCGGCATTGTTCACATAATAGTACAAAATGTTGTCCTTCTCGCAGTATTGCTCGTGCAGCGCCTTCGCCCAGAAACCGGGCCGATTGGTCAGATCGGGGCAGGCATATTTGGGCAGGGCGCCCTCCAGTGTGGCCGGGTCGTTGCTGGTGAAACCGAAGCGTATGCCGCCGTTCCAGTTGTTCGAGATTTCGGCAAACTTGACGCAAATCCGTTCATTGATGCGCACCGGACGTGCCGAGAATGTGATCGCACGGCAGAAGCTCTCGAAGCGACGCGCCAGCGTTCCATCCCTGGAGATGCGTATATTGTCGCCGTGCACCGTATGGAATTGCAGGGGCGGCAAATTGTTGGGGCCCGGACAGGAGGAGGGAGAACGGCGAACTGCAAGTGCAAAAGAAAGAGAAAGAATGAGTAAAAGTGAGTCAGCGACTTGACAAAGAGCGCAGCAAATTGCAAAGCTTAAAGCTTTTTAAAGCAC